GAGGAGCAGGAGGAGGATGAGGAGCAGGAGGAGGAGGAGGAGGAGGAGGAGGAGGAGGAGGAGGAGGAGGAGGCCGAGCAGGAGGTGGATGAGGAAGCGGGGGAGAAGGAGGAGGAAGCAGGAGGAGGAGGAGGAGGGGGAGGACGAGGAGGAGGAGAGTGGAGGAATAAGGGGCAGGAGGGGGGAAGGAGGGGGAGGATGGATGGAGAGGGCCTTCGGCGCAGGACGTGCTGGAGCCTCGCCGCCGACATGGCCTGGTCGTCGGGCAGGCCCCGGCCGACCTCGTGGTGGGCTGGCCGCGACAGGCGCCACTTTTTTCTTTTCGGCCCCCTCCTGAGATGCGCCCCTCGGTGGCCTCGTCCCGGAGGAGGAGGAGGAGGAGGCGGAGGAGGAGGAGGCGGGGGGGGGGAGGGGAGGGGGGAGGGGGGCGCGAGGGGGAGGAGGGGGGGAGGGTGAGGAGGAGTGGAGGGGGAGGGGAGGAGGAGTGAGTAGGAGTAGGAGTAGGAGTAGGAGGAGGAGGAGTGAAGTAGGAGGAGGGGGAGGAGTAGGAGGAGGAGGAGGAGGAGGAGGAGGAGGAGGAGGAGGAGGAGGAGAAGGAGGAGGAGCTCGCGACGTGGCTACAATCGGAGGCACCCCCAAACGGGGTGCTGACCGCGCCGTGTGGTGAGCCGGTAGGGATTCGGGGTGCGGTCTTGGGGCTCGGGTCGTGCTCCGAGGACGTCTCGGGCGACTGGGGCATCCGAGGTCCCGAAACCGTGCGTTGACGGACCGTGCGGTGAGGTCTCGGGGGATTTCGAGGTCACCGCGCGGTCTGTCACCGCACTCACGGCGGCTGGCTTTTGGCCGTTCTCGGCTGGCGTGGCGCCTTCGCGGGGCCACGGGACTGTCAAGCAGACGCGGAGGGCGGCGGCCAGGGCTTTTTTTGTTAGTTCTTTTTATTCTTTTTTCATTTTTTTTTTTTCTTCTTTTTCTTTTTGTTTTTTTTTTTTTTTTATTTTTTTTTTCCTTTTTTTTTTTATTTATTCTATTTTTTTTTTTTTTTTTTTTTATTTTTTTTTTTTTTTTTTTTCTTTTTATGTTTTTTTTTCTTTTTTTTTTTTTTTTCTCTTTTGGGGCTCCGCGCGGATGCTTGGGTCGGCACGGGCCCCTTCCAGCGCCGCCCCCAGACGCGCTCCGCGGCTCCAGGGAGGGGATCGGAGGGCACACCAACTATACACCAAACACGATCTCGGCCCAGGATCACCCCTGGGCCAGGATCGGTTTTGTATATGCCTTCTCTTGCGCAAGGCAGGAGGGCGTATACACCGATCCTGGGCCCAGGGTGATCCTGGCCAGGATCGGTGTTGGTGTATAGTTGGTGCCTTCCTAGGGGAGTCCAGCGTGACCCAAGGCATCCGCGCAGAGCTCCCAAAGTTTGGACCGGAGCCGTTTTCCCCAGTTGGGCTGGCCTAAGGGGTTCTCACTTGGTGAAAGGTTGGTGCCTCGGGTTCTTACGTTGCCCGTGGCTCAGCGATCCCCCGGGGTCCTTGCTCGGAGGTTCCCTGGGTTCCTCGGCTTACCCAGAATCCTCGCCCCTGGTGCCTCCGATTCTTACGTTGCCCGCTCTTGCGTTGCAGAACCTGTGGCCGTAGTGCTGGTGTAGATGAACCCTTTGCAGCTCAGCTGTTCTCAGCTGGCTGCCGCCACCTTTTCTGGGTAGCGCCCACATCGGCAGGAGCGTTGGACAACACATATAACCATGCTGCGAGCGAACTCGATCGCGTCATCCTGTTCCCGCCTCCTCCCTCCACCCTCGAAAACTGCGCCGGCATTCAGAGCTCATTGTGGATTTCAGCTGCGCGGGCGCGCCGGGTTCATTTCGTCGAGTTCGCTCCGGGTTCATTGTCAAAGAGTCATCTCAAGTCGGGCCTTTCCCTCTACAGAGGGAATATTCAAAAAATAGTCGAACAATAGTCCGGGGACGATTTTTCGAATGTTTTTGGGCATTTTTGGAGTAATTTTAGGGGATATGTTTCGATTTTTCGTCCAGATCTAAGGGGGACAGGCCCGATCTAAGAGCCGTCCCCTGAGTGGGGTCGCGCTGGGTTCCTTCCCTTCGCTCTCATCTCCCTCGGCCCGTCAGAGGCGACGACAGGGGCGAATAGCCCAGGGGAGAGCAACACGCAAAACACGTGTCTTCGGTGTGTCGCGCATTTTACCCTTTTTTTTTTTTTTATCTATGTGGGGTGCTGGGGCCCTTCGAGAAGGGCTCTCCGGGGGGCGAAATCTAGGGGAACAAAAAAGTGGCATAAACTTAAAAACTCGGAGGTCCGCGCGGATTTATCGGAATCGGCGCTGGACCCCCTACCCCGGCGCGCGCGCCCCCCCCCCCCGGTGCGGCCCCAGGGGCGGCGCCGGAGGCCGCGCCGCCGTGGGGGGGAGGGGGGGGGGGGTTCCCAGCCCCGATCCGAGAAAGAAATCCGCGCGGACCTCCGAGGTTTTTTAGTTAGTTTTGTTTTTTTATGCTTATTATGCTTATGTCACTCTCGGCTCCCCTAGATCTATCTATCGTCGTCGTCATCGATCTATCTTCGTCATCTTGCGGGGAGCATTTGGCTTCTTCGCAGCGGCGCTTGGCTGCATGTAACCGCTTCACACCTGTTGAGCAGCCCGGCCTTCCTGGAGGCCAGCGCGTTTGGCGCGCCTGCCACTCCTGTAGGGTCGCTGGACCACCGGCGACGGCAGCTTCGTTCGTTCGTCGTTGTTCCCTTAGATGATGAATCCTTTTTTCACCACCACCACCATAAGTTGGCAGGGGGGAAGAGGAGGAGGAGGGCGAGGACGAGGAGGAGTAGGAGGAGGAGGAGGAGAAGGAGGACCCCCTCCCCCTCCAACTTGTGGTGGTGGTGGTGGAAAGCAGGCCCATCACCAGAATCGCCCCCGGGCGATTCGCCCCCGTCGTCGCCGCCGAGCCCCGGGGCCCCCGTCGGGCCCCAGACGCGTGGCGCGGCGCTCTGGCAGCAAGGGCTCCCTCGAGGGCGCGAAGTTATTCGCGCTTCGCGCTTCGCGGTCCTCGTTCCTTCTCCCCCTCCTCCTCGTTCTCCTAATCTCCCTTTGGGAGGGCGGCGCGAGAGCGCGAAGTTATTCGCGCTTCGCGCTTCGCGCAGCGCGAAGCGCGAAGTTGGGAGCCCTAGGGCAGTCTCGGCTCCGTGCGCGGGCCTCCCGAGATCTCTCCGAGGACCTCTGCTCGTCAGGGGGGAAACAACACACACAGACACGCTGAAGCGTCGATCCCCAGGAGAGTATGGGAGAACATGGGAAGGGGGGGGGGGGGAAGGCAAGAACTCAGGACATGTGGGAAGATATGGGGACTCCTGTTGTCTGTGTCCATCTGTTTGTGTGTCCCAGGGCCCCTTCAGTTTTTCCAATCCGGGCATCTCTTCTCGGCTTCGGCCTGTCCCTCTACAGGAGGAGTATTCAAGAATAGTAAGAAAATAGTCCGGGGACGATTTCCCGATGATTTGTGGGTATTTTTGGAGTATTCTTTGGAGTATTTTTCATTTTTCGTCCAAAATCCCCCTGTAGGTGGACAGGCCCGACCTAACTCTCGGTCCCGGTGACACTAAAAATGGCTCCCGGGCGGAAGACCATCCCGAGGGAAGGGGTCGGGACCTCTTCATGGTGCCGCGGGATGAAAACATCGCATCGTCGGATGTCCAGGTCACGAGTCTCGTGACCCGAATCCCCCCGGGGCCCCAGCCCGTCGTCCGTGGTGCGCGCCGCCGCCGCTGTCATCGGCAAAATGTGCGCCCTCTCTCTTTTTCCGAGGGGTCCCGCGGGTCAGTTTTCCCCGCGGGCGTCGCGTGGCCTGGCAGGGCCGGCTCGACCTGTTTTTGTGTTTTCTGTGAGCTGTGCCGTTCAAACCACTTGCCCCCAGGGGCGCAGAGGCGGCGACGAGCTGGTCTCCCACCTGGCCCCGTGGGCCGTCGCCTGGCATCGCTCGGACGTGTGCATTTTTCTTTCGGCGAGGACCACTGAGGAGCATCCTTGATCATTTGGCGAAAAAACCACGCACGAAACCGACAAAAAACACAGGGAATGGACGTCCGAGCGATGGCCAGGAGTCGGGGGGCTGCCCAGGGTGCCGCGCCGGTCCCAGAGAGCGGGCCGAGAGCTCGGGGTGGCCCCGCGGCCGAGGCCTCGGGGCCGTCCCTCCCGGGAGGAGCCCCCCCCCCCGCGTGCCAGCCTCCTCGCAGGCTTCCGGAGAGCTCCTGGGGGCTGCCTGGGGTGTCTGCTTCGTCGGCGCCTTCGAGGAGGGGGAGGCGGGGGGGCGGTGCTCTGGAGTGCTCCTCTTCCGCCCCCTCTCCCGAGCTCCAGAGCTCAGCGAAGGCGAGCCGCGGCGAGCCCGAAGCTGCCACCCGGCCCCCCCGCCCTCGGGGCTCCCGCGCTCTCGAGGGGTAGCGGCCCGGCGTCCAGCGAGGCCTCCGGCGGGGGATCTCAGGAGGGGCGCCCCTTGCTCTCTCTCCTCTTGCTGCCCCTCCTCTCTGCGTGCAATTTGCCCTTTCTCTCCCTGTTTTTGCTCCTTCTCCTCCTCCTCCTCCTCCTCCTCCTCCTCCTCCTCCTCCTCCCCCTCCCTCCTCCTCCTCCTCCTCCTCTCCTCCCCCTCCCCCTCATCCTCCTCCTCCCCTCCTACTCCCTCCTCTCCTCCTCCTCCTCCTCCTCCCATTCCTACCTCCCCCTCCTCCTTATCCATCCTCCTCCTTCTCCCCCCCCCCCCCCCTCCCCCCTCCTACTCCTCCTACTTTTCTCCTTCTCCTCCCCTCCCTCCGACCTCCCTCTCCCCATCCCCCCCCCATCCTCCTCCCTCCTGCCTCTCCTCCTCCTCCTCTTCCTCCTCCTCCTCCTCCTCCTCCTCCTCCTCCTCCCCCTTTTCCTCCTCCTCCTCCTCCTCCTCCCTCTCCTCCTCCTCTCTGCTTCTTTCCCTTCCTCCCCCTGCCTGATCCTCGTCCCCCACCCACCTCAGCCATGTCAGCTCGAGCCGTTTGTCGAGGCATGCGCCGAGCCTTTCCCCCGCGCGTCCGCGCCACGCGTCTGTGGACGCGTCCCAGCTGCGGCGCCGTGAGCATGCGTAGAGTGGGAGAGCTATGGTCAACGCGAGTAGGAATGACGGGGGAAGAGATCGGGGGGGGGAGGAGGAGGGAAAGGAGGAGGAAGAGGAGGAGGAGGAGGAGGAAGAGGAGGAGGGCTGACGGACGGGGGGAACGATGGAGGAGAATTCGTCGGATGGTGCTGTTGATGATGCTGATAACGACGACGTGATGTTGATGGTGATGATGGTGGTGATGATGATGATGACGACGATGACGATGACGATGACGATGACGACGATGATACTGTTGCTGCTGATGATGATGATGATGACGATGACGACGGTGATGCTGATTCTCATGATGAGGATGATGATGATGGCCCTGATTAAAATGAGTATGCTGGGGATGGGGAACAGGACGAGGATGACGATGATGTTGATGACGCTGATGATGCTGCTGTTGATGATGATGCTGCTGCTGATGATGATGTATCTGATGACGACGATGGCGGCGGTGGTGATGACGATGATGATGCTGATGATGATGCTGATGATGATGACGATGACGACGATGACGACGACGATCATGACCAAGATTATGGTTGTGGTTGTAATTATGGTGATTGTGACGATGATGATGCTGCTGATGATGCTAATGATACCAATGAAGAAGATGATGATGATGATGATGATGATAATGATGATGCTGGTGGTGATGATGCTGATGCTGATGCTGCTTCTGATGATGATGACGACGATGATTACGACGATGCTGATTATGATGATGACGACCATGGTGATGATTACGACGATCCTGATTATGGTGATGATTCTTGGTGATGGTAACTGTGATGCTGACGACCATGATGATGATACTGGTGACGCTGATGATGACTGTGATGGTGGGTGATGATGGCGCTGATGGTGATGCTGATGCTGCTGCTGCTGCTCATGCTGCTGATGATGCTGCTGATGATGATGATGATGATGGTGATGGCGACGACGACGACGACGATGATTAGGATGATGATGGTGATGCTGCTGTTGTTGATGATGGGGCTGTTTGTGATGTGGATGTTGGTGGCTTTAAGGGTGGTGACGACGCTGATGATGATGCTGTTGGTAATAATAGCATCCACGATGACGATGACGATGACGACGATGATGCTGCTGCTGATGATGATGCTGCTGATGATGATGCTGATAATGATGTCGATGCTAATGCTGATGATGATGATGATGATGATGATGATGATGATGATGTTGTAATTGCTAAGTGGCACGGCGATGCTGATGGTGATGCGCATTAAGAGCATGCTGATGCCTATGCAGATGCTGCTGCTGATGATGCTGATTATGATTATGATGACGATGAGGGTGGTGACGATGACGATTATGATGATGATGATGACGATGTTGATGAAGATGATGGTGATGCTGATGATGCTGATGTTGATGATGATGATGCTGCTGGCGATGTTGATGGTCATGGTGATTGTGATGGTGATGACGACGATGATGATGATGCTGATGATGCTGTTGATGATGATGCTGATGCTGATTCTGATTCTGATCATGAGACGAACAGTGATGATGCTGCTGATTTTCATGATGATGCTGCTGCTGACGATGATGATGACGATGCTGATTTTGATGCTGATTTGTATGATGATTTGGATGATGATGGGGATGTTGATGATGATGACGCTGATGATGATGATGATGATGATGATGATGATGATGATGATGCTGATGATGATGATGATGATGATGATGATGATGATGATGATGATGATAGTGATGGTGATGGTGATGGTGATGGTTATGATGATGATGATGATGCTGATGTTGATGATTATGATGCTGCTGATGATGAAGATGATGATGCTGATGATGATGATGCCGTAATGGTGTTGGTGGTTGTGATGATGATGAGACTGACCGTGATGATTGGGGCTACTGTGATGAGGACGAGTATGACAATGAGGGAGGTGAGGAGGATTTGGGAGTAAGAGGAGGAGGAGGAGGAGGAGGAGGAGGAGGAGGAGGAGGAGGAGGAGGAGGAAGAGGAGGTCTTGATACAACGCAACATGTGTCGGCGATGCCGGAATGCAGCGTCCCGTCCCAAGTCCCCTCGCCAGTAGTCCTATACACGCATTCTGTGTCTTTGCGCGAAGCGCCCCTCTTGCAAGACGCATGCCCCATGGGCCCGCAGTTCAGGCAGGAGCTCAGTTTTTCAATGCCACCGCCCTCCATCATCCGAATTCGAAGGAGTGCGACAAGCCCGGGATGTTTGGTTCAAGGGAGTGCTCAGCGACGGCCCCGCTTTGCAGAGCAACTGAACGCCTTCTGTGTAGCTGTTGCAGATACCCCATTTGTTCGCCTGCATCCCAGTACATACTCGAACGCGGCTTGGACTTGTTGCGGCCGCGGACTTAAACTCAGCAGCTGTTGCATTGTCTTAGAATCTAACGAAAGCTCAGGCGAGAGCCTCGGGTTGAAAAGGAACCGCTTCACAACCGTGCAATTTTGAACATGTGATAGTGGTGGCGGTCTGTTCTGAAGAAGGCTCAGGCGCGGACCAGTTTTGCCCAACACCGTGTGGTGTTGGGTCATCGTAATGAAGAGACAGCGCCCCGCGTCACTCCTTCCTTCCTTCCTCCTCCCCCTCCTTCCTTCCCCCATCGTCTTCCCTCTGCCCTCCGCACTTCAATTTTGGCACACCCTTCACACGTTTTGTGGCCGCACAGGAAAGTCCACCGAAGGCACCCACGGCCCAGTTCGCATGCGGCACCACCACCCCTTTCGGCACACCCCTCACACGTTTCGTGGCCCCGTTGGCAGCTCCACCGAAGGTGCCAGTGGCGCAATTCGCATGCGGCTCCCCGCCACCAATTTCGGCACAATCCTCACACGCGTCGTGGCCCCAGAAGGAGCTCCACCGAAGGTCCCTGTGCGGCAGTGTGCATGCGTCCCCGCCATTCATTCTGGCACACTTCTCACGCATTTCGTGGCCCCACAGGTCGCACCACCGATGGTCCCAGTGGTGCGGTTCGCATGCGTCCCCGCCACACATTTCGGCACACCCCTCACGCGTTTTATGGCCCCACAGGGAGCTCCACCGAAGATCCCAGTGGGCCATCTCGCATGCGTCCCCGCCCACCATTTCGGCACACCCTCACACGTTTGGTGGGCCCACAAGGAGCTTCCAGTGGCGCAGTTCGCACGCGCCCCCGCCCCCCAATTCGGCACATCCTTCACACGTTTCGTGGCCCCATATCGAGCTCCACCGAAGGTGCCAGTGGCGCAGTTCGCATGCGTCCCCGCCACCTCTGTCGGCATACTCCTCGCACGTATCGCTGGCCCGTAGGGAACCCTACCGAAGGTCCTATTGGGTCAGTTCGCATTCGTCCCCGCCAACGATTTCGGCACAACCCTCACACGTTTCGTGGCCCCATCAGGTGCTCCACCGAAGGTGCCAGTGGCGCAGTTCACATGCGCCCGGGACACTGGTTTCGGCACACCCCTCACACGTTTCGTGGCCCCGTTGGCAACTCCACCGAAGGTGCCAGTGGCGCAATTCGCATGCGGCTCCCCGCCACCCGCCACCCATTTTGGCACAACCCTCACACGCGTCGTGGTGGCCCCGTTTGGGAGCTCCACCGAAGATCCTAGTGGTGCAGTTCGCATGCGCCCCCGCCCACCATTTCGGCACACCATTCACACGTTTCGTGGCCTCGTTGGCAGCTCTACCGAAGGTGCCAGTGGCGCAATTCGTATGCGGCCCTCGCCACCCATTCTGGCATACCCCTCAGACGTTTCGTGGCCACACAGGGATCTCACCGAGTGTAACACTGGCGCAGTTCGCATGTCTATATCGGCACACTCGTCACACGCTTCGTGGCCTCATAGGGAGCTGCTGAGCCGAAGCCTCCAATGACAGGGTTCACATGCGGCCCCCCCGCCCACCGCATGCCAATTTCGGCACACCCTTTACTTGTTTCGTGGGCCTATAGGGAGCTCCACCGAAGGCCCCAATGCCAGGGTTCGCATACGGCTCCCCACCCTCCGCATTTCCTTTCCAGCACGCCCCTCACACGGTTCGTGGCCCCATAGGGGGGTCCCTTCCTTTCGTCTCACCTCCCTCGCGGTATTGTATTCACACCTGCATTTGGTTGGGTGGGTTCTTCGCCAGGGTAATTGGAAACGAACCAGCACCCATCCGTGTAGCTGCTGGCCAACCTACACTTGTGTTGTAAGAAGTCTAAAGCTAGAGCAGCATTTCGAAGACCATTCCCCTCCATCCATGCAGGTAGGTATTAGAGACGTTTGAGGTGAATGTGCACGGCTCTAACCCGAGAGCCGCATTTGTAAACGACCGGCCCTGCAGCCTTGCCATTGTGCGACGCTTTTATGACGAATGTGTTATTTTTTTGTTTTTTTTTTATTTTTTTTTTTGTTTTTTTTTTTTTTCTTTATTTTTTTTTTTTTTTTTTTTTTTTTTTTTTTTTTTTTTTCTTTTTTGTTTTTTTTACTTTCTTTTTTTTTTTTTTTTTTTTTTTTTTTTTTTTTTTTTTGTTTGCATGTTTTTGATTCGTTTCATTTTTTTTTTGTTTTTTTTTTTTTTTTTTTTTATCTTTTTTTTTTTTTTTTATTTTTTTTTTTTTTTTTTTTTTTTTTGTTTTTTTTATTTATTTATTTAGTTTTTTAATTTTTTTTTCTTTTTTTTTTTTTTTTTTTCTTTTTTTTTTTTTTTTTTTTTTTTTTTTTTTTTTTTATTTTTTTTTTTTTTCTTTCCTCTTTTTTTTTTTTTTTTTTTTTTTTTTTTTTTTTTTTTTTTTTTTTTTTTTTTGTTTTTTTTATGACGAATGTGCGCGGCGCGAAGGCGAGATCCGCATTGTGATCACCCCTTCATCCCCGTACTACTTTGCG